ATCGTTTCCTTTGTTGTTGTGATTGAATTAAGTGCAAGTTGTTTATATGATTGTGCGTATAAGATACGACTTACCGGTCGTAAAATTACCTCGATAAAAACCATTTGGAACTCGATTAATTGGACCATCATCGAGGGAACAAGGAAGTATATGAGAATCGATTTGGGGAGTAAAGAGTCGCCGATCTCCATACCGAGTGATTTACGATGAGGCGATGGCGCGAGCCGCGCACACAAATGAGCGGAGAGAGAAGCGCAACAAGAGAGAAAACGACGGGTCCGAGCATCCGATACCTACTTACACTGCTCGTTTTTTGCGCTTTTTCGGAGCATCTCGTAAGTGCGTGTATGTGTGTTTTTTCCCTTCCCATTTCTCCTTCTCCGACGATACTCATCTATATACCTGTATGTAACGAGAGAGAGAGTCGGCAAACACCCACTAACCGTCCATCTACGATATAGGTACAATGTCGACATCACGCCACTTTTCGAGCGGGCCACGACCACGTGTGCCAATCGGCGTGTATAGCGCCGGCGATCGCCGATATCTCTCTCTCTCTCTCTCTCTCTCTCTCTCTCTCTCTCTCTTTACCCGGTTAATGCATCATTGTATGCATGTATACAATACACATCGTGTGATCGAGCGAGAGAGGAGAAAAATCGGTGTTTCCATAGCCTTATTTCGATTCAACTTGTTGCCCGATAATCGACTAGTTATTTTAATCGTTTTGAACGACCGGTAAATTTTTTTTTTGTTGGGGCATTGGTCGTGTTGTCGTTTGCTCAATAGTGGTGGGTAGAAACATTTCACACGTGCATATGGTCTTCTGCATCGACACATTTAGTGTTTTGTAATAGCAATAACTCGAATATAGTAGAGATCGGTAATATTTTTCGCTCATCAGTACAGGGTTTATTCGTAACAAGGGTTAATCTCAAGTTTCCAAGATCACTCATATTTTGCACAATCATAATCACACGTATACGTACATGCATTTTGAAAATTTACCCGATTTTCCGAAGCCGGTGATCGGTTGCAATCGGAAAAAATCAACCTTTGGCGTACCATCAGTTTCCTCTGTCGGCTAACGTTTATAGATGTAATATAGTATCGTCGTCAAGCTGATGCTCGCAAAATTTATCGCATTACCAAAAGGGGCCCTGGAGGGAAAGGAGAGGGAGGAAGTTGAACTTTCAGCAAGAGCCTTGGAATGCAATGCCGAAGCTCGGAGCGGCGATCTCTCGAAACCAAAGTCGAAGAGATGCTGACGCTTATTCGTGCGTGATACAGTTTATCCGTAGTGTCCGGAAATTCCATACTTTCCCGCTGATAGATCGAATCGGATGGAATTTCAGATGGTGCTTTGTAATTGATATGTCAGCTTGGAGCTTTTTAATTTTTGTCTTTTAAAAAAACTATATAGATAGATGCGGATTATCGACTGTGAGCGTAAATTAATATAAAACTGGTATCTCGGAGATAAAAATAAAATCGGTAAAATAGGCTTGTTTGATCATGGACATGAAAAACCATGTGCTGTACAACAATGGAGATAACGATATTGCCGCGAGAGGCCGAACATTGAGCGCTTGACATGGTTTTCCCCCAACTCCGCGGAACGTTTATTTCGGGCGTAATGTCGGTAATGGTCTCGGCCTCTATAGCAGTGATTTTTTCTTCATCTCCCTAAATCACGCCAAGAGTTCGGAGAAAACGATTTGCCCTTTTTTTTTCTCTTTTCATCCATCCCTATAGTCAGAACCTAAGTTGATGAACTGATGAATGAACGCGTTGATCGTGCATATATTATACATATATTCGTGTGTGCAATAATATATAGGATTCGCAAGTGCGTATACTTTGCATATCTCTCTTTGCATCTTCCAGCCGCTGCCTATACTAACTAATCGTCTGATATGTCCCGAGACGTTAAGCGTCGACAAGCAATTTTAAAGTCGGCGTGACAATTACTACACGGCTATATGTGTACTCTCTAAATTAGAAATAGAATTACTGATGTTGCGTGTGAAAAAAATGTTATCGTGAGTAAAGTTTCGGAAAAGCATGTTTAAGTTGTCTTAGTTTTGTTTTGTATGGATGTGGCGTGTGTTGTTCTGTAGTGGCAGATCAGTGTACTTTTATCCAGGTGCTGGCAGTGTATGTAGGTACAACCCTCGGGGCGGATGAAGCAAAGTGTCGTTATTTAACGTATGGACTCGACTAATTACTATTTTCTATTAGAGAAAGGCAATTCTCTTCTGTTTGTAGATGCTGTTGTCTTTTTGTCAGTTTTATTTTTATTTTCTGCTCAAGGGGTTTAAAACGTCGAAAAAGTCAATCATATTGTTGGTAATAAATAATTTACAATAAACGAATGCAATGGCATTAAACTAATTGGGTGAAAAATTTTACATTATCGGAGATTTTTGAGCTCACCGATCATTTTAAAAGATAATCAGAAGAGTGAAATTCTTTGTAGTTCAACTAACAATGCTGTAATTATCCCCGTAAAGTATATCGAACTCGAAAACTCACCCGTTTTGGGAAAAAAAGGCAGAAATCACCAACACAATCGTCAATGCAAAATGAACGGCTCGCGCGTGCAATATCATGCATTGATTATTTTCCCGCTACTCGTCATCTAAATAATTTTCCCGGTCCCAAAAAGCTTCTACGTGTCCCTTAACCCAAAACTCGATTCGCGGAGCGGCTAATTCGGCCCTCGCGAGACGACGACAGTGCACCAGCGGTAGCATGCAGGCGACGATGAATAATCAATTCACGGGCGCCCCATTTCCCGCGTCTTTCCTTCCGCCGACATCGTCGTCTTCCCCGTGTAGTACGTGATGCACATCATCCACTTTGATATTTACAGCACACGATCGACTATTCCCACGATCAGAGGATGAACTCTGTCGAACGATCGGCAGAAAAAAAAAAAAAGAAAGAAAACACGAGGGAACCCAAGAGGTGCACTTATACCAGAGGTGCACCGCTTACGCTGTAATACAACATTTGCGCGATTACTCCTCGATTTTTTTTTTTTTTGCTTTGTTTTTCCAACGCGCAATTTTTCGTAATGATGCATAAAACGATCTCGGGTGGCCGGTTAAATGCCTCTCTGTGACGAGCGGGAGGAAAAATGTTGAATAACACTTTCCATCTGCTGTTCGACTCATTGGAAGCCCATGTGGGTCGAGCCCGTTTTTTTTTCTTTGTGTACAAAATGCAGCTTCAATAGGGTTCGTCCGTAACCGGTGTATACTTTCCAATCACGCTGATACCGATCTAAGAATTTTCCAAAAGTAGAAGAAAAATTGTTTTACCTACTATCGCAACACTATTGCTTATGCAACGAATCGATCTCTGCGATCCTTGGCACTGAGCGACCATATGCTTATGTATACACAACAGGTCGTAAACTTGCATTGTCGCCGTATCGCATTGAAACAAAACTGGCCATTTAATCCATTTCGTTCGCGAGAGAAAAAATCAAGTGGCTCTACCCTACTGGCATACGTATGTATTAGTAGTTATACCCTTATACTTGGTGTTTTTTTTTTTTTTTTTTTTTTTTTTTTTTTTTTTTTTTTTTTTTTTTTTNAAGTGCTTCCAAAATTCACTGACTTACTAGTCTCTACAGTCTTAACGTTACATAATATATTAAAATTATACTGAACATGTAAATGAACGAATCCAGTGTATTCAATATATATATATATATATAATGTTATTATACATACAAGTCGGGGTGCCTTAAACCATCATGCCACTACCCAATCGGGAGTGGAGCTAACTTCTTATTTATTTTTGTTTTTCCTCAACAGCTAGAGCGTGGGTTTTGCGAGAAATGCGAGCAAAAGTCTTGAAAATCGAGGGGGAAAAAAAAGTCGAAATTTCGCGTTTTGTAACGACGGAAAGTGAGCGAAAGTGTCAAATCGCGGGTGAGCGTTTGATTACCGGATACCTACTTTCAGGCAATTCTCGCGACTCGATTCGTATATAAGTGAGCACTCGATTACGCGCGTTGCTCTTGTTTATTTTTTACTTGAAATTGAATAAATTTCCACTGTAAACTTTGCAAACAAACCAGTTTTTTCGTCTAACAAGTTGTTCTTTATTTACAATAATATTTACGAGCATCGCCATGTTATGTGTTACCGATGAAGCGTCACAAGTTACGTGCGTAAAATTATAGTTTCGCGCGTCAGACGCTTTTCATAATCAGCGTGGTGACGTTTGCATGCTGCAAAAATAAAACAATCGTTTATCTCAATCTGACAATGATTGCGCGTAAAGATCGATGATGCAAACCTTCTCTCACTAGGCCGTGTGCGAAGAAGACAAAGTTACCGATCTCCCGGAAAAATCGGCAACCCACACGTATGTGCGGTAAACAAAGGGCCATTTACACCGCTCCAAAACGAACGGACAAGGAGGACGCTAAAGGGCTCGCGAAAGCAAGCGCTCCGTGGTCCCGCGAGAAAAGGAACACTCTTCAGCCGTAAATCAATCCCATCGTTTCGAGAGCGCGTCCCTCCCGATTCTCCGCAAATCCCGTGTATACCCAGTAGCTCAAACGGCAAAAAAAAAAAAAAAAAAAAAGGCACATCTCCTAGACGAGTGTTTCTGATCAACCGATCTTCTTTCGAGAGAAAAGCAAGCATCAGCCAGAAGAAGGAAAAAAAAAAAAAAAAACGCGAGAGGCAAAAATCGGGCGTCGGCTAAAATTGGCGAATCCTGCGTTTGGATTCGCGGGCTCGTCGCTCACGCGATCGCGCGCACATATACACCCACTAAGCACACGAGCGTCGAGAGAGAGAGAGAGAGAGAGAGTCGTCGTCGCCCCCCGTCACGCTCTACAGAGAGGTAAAGTTATAGGTGTATACTACAGAGCGGTTGCCCAGGGAGTGGTGGGGCTGGCTCCCCCGTGCGAAAGAGTGGACCGAAAAAGCGAGGCGCCGAGCCGGCAGACCGACAATCGCACCGGCGACGCCGCACAGACACGATCGGTCCATACAATATATACCCACTTTGTTCAGGGTAGTGCTCGAAATTGCCGATCTTTTTGGAAATAGTGGATAAAATACATACCGTTGCCTTTTGTTGTTCGTCGGACCCGTGAGACCTTACCGATCTCGATTTTTCGCGTTTTTTACAAGGCTGGTCGTTCACACGGGTGTGGAAAAGTGCGAAAGATCGGTTGTGCGATCGGGTGGTATACCGATGGCTGGGACGACGGTACTTTTAGCTCTGGTGCTACTTGGGCTGCAGCTCGCAGGAGCTCAGCCGGTTTTACCACCGCATTCGGGGATGGCCGAGCCCTTTATCCTTCTTAAATTGTTACCCGACGGAGAGCTCCAGAGGCTCATTAAGTTCAACAACACCTGCGCCAGGGAAATAACGCTCGATTGGGGGTGAGTTGACGATTTTTTTTTTTTTTTTTTTTTTTTTTTTCGTTTTTCTTTAATTTGCGCAATTGCCGAGTGTTGAGTTATGTATGTGACTGTCATTCGTGATAAGTATAATTGCAGTGTTCGCCCGATCGACAGATTGTTTGTGGAGCTCATTAATATTAGTAATAACGAGCTTATTTTTTGTTGAGATTGAGATACAGCGAGTTTTCTTTCGAGCGGTTTTTTTGGTCAAGCAATCAAGTCAATTAAAATTTAGTAGTAATCGATGATTTTTCTATTTGGATAGAGATTATCAATTGTAGTTACGATATTGAGTAATTTTAATGTCACGTGAAATTAATATAAATGATAATATTTACCGATAGAAAACACATTTAGTAAATGAAGGTTGTCACCAGTAAACATGAAAATTTTGATTTTTATAGTACAGTTGTGATATCACTACTATACATCATTAACGCGACTTGGCGAGACGTTTGATAATACCATGTTATGTATAGTTAACTTTGTGTGTTATCGATTTGTCTCGTTTCAAAGAAAAAAACTCAATGGTTTTTTTTTCAATCTCTCTTGGATACGGAAAAAAAATCAAGTGAAAGTCAACTTAAGTCAAAACGGCGGAATAAGTAGTGCAATTTATTCGCAGTTTTGCGTGAGAATTTTCCACACCTTGACCTTCGCTCGATGACAAATTAATGATGCTCTGTATTGCATAGACCGTGCGTCGGACTATCAATTGGGATATCGGTGTCCATGACGCGCCGCTGTTTTATCATATCTTCCGTAGACGCTAAAAAAAAAAAAAAAATATAAATACTTAAAAGTAAACCAAATCTTTTTAGAGAGTTTATACCGCTTGGAAATAATATTTTTTTTTTTTACCAAAATTTAATGATTTATCCTTTTTGAAAAATTGTTTTCACAACACTTCGTATACTTTACTGAACGAAAAAACATTTTCAAAGCAAAAGCAGTTTTTTACAAGTTTATCTAAAAGGCTTTGACGCACTGTTTATGTTTGAAATAGGAATAATAATTTCTCAATCAAGTACTGGATTACATGTGCTTGATCATAAAGTTGAAAAAAAAAAAAATTTTAGCACAAGTAAAACAATCGAGTTGTAGAAAAAAACAAAAATTGTCGAAGCTTCCCTGCATGAGACGCGCAACAACTTTGTAACCATTTTCGTCACGAAAACGCGTTTGAAACGAATCAGCCCAAACTCTTTTGCATCCGATTGATTTTCGCGCGCGCAATCAGCGAGAAAACCAGATCAGATGGAGCCAGAAAAGCTCGTGAGAGAAAAGCCCCCGTAAGCCTGAGTAGTTTCCCGAGTCGTGTAGATGGGGGCGAGGGTAAAAAGAAGCCGAACGAAAAGACACATACCCAATCCATCCGTCAGATCGAGAGGCGACCCTCGCACGCTTGTTCCTCCAAATCCGAAAAGTGGCAAGCAGAGGATTAGAAGAGCCGCGCCCGACCGCGGACTCGTGCTCTCTGTGTATACCCCATGCATACACATCCACTCGTTCGGCACTTTGCGCTTACTTCCCCCCGCCCCATTATTTTTCCTTCTCCCTATGCTATAGGCATAGGTACTTGGGTGTTAATTCTCTGCTCCGTGAGTGCTTTCCCGTATAATTATACACCCTCTCCTGCGCAATCGGTTTACAACTCCCTCCCTCTTTTTTTCATTCCGCCGTTGGCTCGATGTTATTTTAATCTCTGATGGACTCCGCGTTGACGAAAAACTTTGATTTTTTTATACACCCATATCGAAGCCGATACGCGTGTGCGCAATCACTCGGCTTATCAAGAAGCGCTCGCACGTGCACCGATACCTATATAGATGCGCACCATCAATTGCGTCTTCTTGTTGCGTCTATACCGATCTTTTGGTTAATGCATCGCCGAGGGAAAGTTGCATTTATTGCGTACAAGGAACATCTGCATGTATATGATATAGTATACATACACTCACGATAATGTACCGATTTCCACTTGCAGAGAGACACCCCTGACGTTGCGGGAGCTTTGGTTCGAAGAGCCGAGCGTGAAGCTGACCTTTTATTACCGGAAGCACGACTTCACCGACTGCACGGTGGAGCCCATCAAGCCCGACGATCCGTACGAGCGCGACGTCTGTGGAGCCGAGCTGCTCTGGGCAGATCGGCAACAACAGCAACCGGTCGCCGTCAACGTCAGCCGGATCGGCAACGTCAGCGACGCCACGATCGCCGAGGCGTACCCGTGGATGCTGGCCTCTGAGCCGGAAATGCGCCAACGGTGCAGCCTTGCACAAGACGCCAACCTGTAAGTACACTTACAGTACATGTGTATACATATACCGATTTTTGGTGCCCACGAGGCGCTCATTTCGCCGCGGAACCGTACAGCTCGACCGATGGCCAATTATTTCAGAAATATGGCACCGGTCCGCCGGCCTGTATCGGGTTACCGACAAAAACGAGCGCGCGACCGCGCACACACGAGAGAAGAAAGGGGCGCGTGACACTTTCGCGAACCGAATCACCCGGCAGTGGGTGTATACACATGGGTGCCTATATGCATCACTAAATTATACCCGATTGACCGTTACTCGCTCGAACGGCATTCAAAGGTATTATGCACGGGACGTGCGTGTGACCGTGAAAAATGATAATCCCTATACGATCGGCGCGCGAATAAATCTTCTCCAACTGTATTTACGGGGAAAATTGTCGCGCGCGTGGGATGAATATGGCGTGAAAAGGGGAGGAGAAACCCACCGATTTCCCCTCCCTGTGAAAGTAATACGGTCCCCCTTTCGTATGAAAAATCGACGCGCACCCCATTGCTTCGACAATTAGCTGGACAATGGTAACGGTTCTCTCTCTCTCTCTCTCTCTTTTGGCACAAAAGACGCGGAAGAAAAGGCATCGCAGAGCTCGAGGAGGAGAGCGGCCTGCAGCCGTTGGTGGCCGACGAGACCAAGAGACAGAAGCGGGGCATCCGCGAGCTGGTCATAGCCCCGGGGACAAAGTGGTGCGGACCCCACAGGTCGGCCTTCAGCTACAAGGACCTCGGCGCCCTGGACGGCTTGGACAGATGCTGCCGGCGTCACGACCACTGTCCGCAGGCCATAGCGCCCTTCTCCTCGAAATACGGCCTCTTCAATTACATGCCCTTTACCCTCAGCCACTGTAGCTGCGACGAGAGGTGAGTAACCAACTGTACATACCATTGTGGCCTTCTTGTTTCCAATATTTCATACTTTTCCAACGCTTTGTGCTGTAACGTTATGGTTACATCGTTGATCTTTTCGTTTCATGGCTTCTGGTGGTTTTCCATTTTAACATGCATAATTATTGTGACAAAAAAAAATTAATTGTCCTCGTTTTTAGATTCCGAACATGTCTAAAAATGACGGGGACCTCGTCGGCAAACGTCATCGGCAAGATATTCTTCAACATGGTCCAGACGAAATGTTTCGCGCTGAAGCCGGCCAAGGTGTGCGTCAAGAGGTCCTGGTGGGGCAAGTGCGAGAAACAAAAGTACAAGAAACAGGCCTACCTGCGATACAATACTTCTTATTAATAGTTTGGATGTACTAGTAATGACAAAAGCTCAGTAGATCTTCGATTATCTGCATTTTGGGTACCGAATTTTAGGCGGAGCTAAAATTTCGGTGCTTGTGTTTTTTTTCCCCTTTGTTACTGTGTAACAGTCGATGCGTGTACCAACTTTGTTTTTTTTTTAGTTTACTAGGTACGAAATCATTACATATTTTTTGTTTTATTTCGTTTAGTGTACGTAAAGTAGTAGTAGTTTAAATTTAAACGACGACGATAACAGGGTGTTTTCGTACTTAATAATTCGCATTGTAATACTTGTACATGATCATACATATCAAATATTTTTATTTTTTTATACATTTTTACTGCCGTACCTTTGTCCCACACCTTTGTCTGTACATATAGGACCCGATTTTACATAGATATCTTGCGTCATATGTCTCCTTTTTAAGATTTATTCCTTATTTATTTCCAAGTATTGTATCACAATTTATAGATAAATTCTGGAAAAAAGTACCTCGAGGCAGCTGGTTGTTCAAGGTCATTTTTGTACAAAAACAATACAAAAAAAGTCTACCTCTCGATCGATATCGACTTTGTGATGGCTAGCACACCACTTACCGAGCCAACGATCGCTCTTATATATACACATCGAAAACATTAATTTTTAATCGATTAATTTGTATACTTGCGTGTATGCTTGCGCGAACGCAACGATATAATATATGAGTCATGTGAAAACTTTTGTTAGTATGTTTCTTACATGTCTCGAGATGATACATATTAATTTTTTTTTTCAATATTAATCAAACTGTTCAAACGAATGATTTCGATATTTTTAACGCTGTGGCTACACATATTTATATTCAATTAAATTTGATTCGAATGAACAACTCTTATGTATGTGACTGTCATTCGTGATAAGTATAATTGCAGTGTTCGCCCGATCGACAGATTGTTTGTGGAGCTCATTAATATTAGTAATAACGAGCTTATTTTTTGTTGAGATTGAGATACAGCGAGTTTTCTTTCGAGCGGTTTTTTTGGTCAAGCAATCAAGTCAATTAAAATTTAGTAGTAATCGATGATTTTTCTATTTGGATAGAGATTATCAATTGTAGTTACGATATTGAGTAATTTTAATGTCACGTGAAATTAATATAAATGATAATATTTACCGATAGAAAACACATTTAGTAAATGAAGGTTGTCACCAGTAAACATGAAAATTTTGATTTTTATAGTACAGTTGTGATATCACTACTATACATCATTAACGCGACTTGGCGAGACGTTTGATAATACCATGTTATGTATAGTTAACTTTGTGTGTTATCGATTTGTCTCGTTTCAAAGAAAAAAACTCAATGGTTTTTTTTTCAATCTCTCTTGGATACGGAAAAAAAATCAAGTGAANATTGCATGTAACGAATCAATCACAAGAGATTATTGCGTTATTCACAAAGAATTTCAAGAAGTTCATATATTAAAATAATTAAGTAACAATGCAGAAATTATATCTTTGCATTGAAGCTGTAATTTAAAAAAAAAACATCTAGTCGGACTCAAATGAAATTATAACAATAAATCATGACAATATGCAAGTTAGATATTTGTACACAAAGTAATGGATACTGTTAACATTCCAATAAAGTAGTTATTCATTAATAGACGTAGAGCAAAAACAGGGTATTTCAGCAAATAATGGAGATACATTTTACTCTAAGACAATGATTTCGTAGACAATATAATATCTATAAATGAATTAATAAATTTGTAATGATTGATGAAAGATTTTTTTATTTGAATAGGAATATTAAAAATAGAAGGATATGAAACATGATTTTCTAGTTGTACTCTAAGTGAAAAAGTAGACTTATAGGATTAAGATTAATTTCGTCAAACCATATTTTACCTTCAGCAGTGTAAATATGTAAAATAATAATCAAGTTTTTTACTCTATTCTTGAAAATCTACTGTAAACTGGAACATTGAATAAAATGTGTATTGTTTGATCATTTTAATTACTTTTTTCAAATAATTTTATATTTTCAATAAAACACTGCTGCCTTTTGAAAGGAACAGCACAACTCCAAGTTTTACGAAATTCATAAAATTTACGAAAATTATGTGTTATTAATAATTGGTGACAATTTAATTTTAATTAGCAATCAATAAAATACTTTTTTTTTTTTTAAAGCTGGNGGACCTCAGTCCCAATTATTGCGGGGTTCTCATGGGCATAATCAACGGAATCGGGGCGATCGCCGGTATACTGTCCCCTTACACCGTTGGCGTTTTAACTCCGAATCAAACCCTCGAAGAGTGGCGGATCATATTTTGGATCGTGGGTGTGGTGTATTTGATCGGGACCATCAATTTTTTGCTGTTTTCCAGTGGTGACGTTCAGCCGTGGAATGACCCCACGTTTTTGAAAAGGAGAGAAAGTAATCGTCAATTTTCGGATGAAGGTATGGGTTTGATGTTGCGCGAGAAAATTAACTTGTCGAGTGGTCCAACGTAAAAAGCCCCCACGTATGTATATATATATACATATACATACTTATGGTGGAACGAGTTTTACCTGCGATCGAAAAGTCAGATGAATATTTTCACTTGTCGCGCGAGTGTTGACAAAATATTTATAAGGTCAGACCTCATTTACATGCATATCAGTGGCTTCGAAACTCATCAAATTACTAGGATCATTACAATTAATGTAAAACTTATTATTGAGAGTATAAGAAAAAAATCTTAAAGTCTTGGGTACATTTTTAAAGCCCATACAGAAGAGTATTGGGTTCAGTTATTTCGACATTGAATAACTATTCATATTTTGAAACATAATTTGTTGAAAAATAAACTATTGCAGTAAACAAACATTTTTATTAGTAGGTTTTACGTGGTAAATAAAGTGCTTCCAAAATTCACTGACTTACTAGTCTCTACAGTCTTAACGTTACATAATATATTAAAATTATACTGAACATGTAAATGAACGAATCCAGTGTATTCAATATATATATTATGCTGTAAAATACTTAATTCTTGGTAATGTATTGAAATAGTTATTTCTTCATATTATATGGAACATTGTATTTCTCCCTCAGTTTATTAGAACAGCGTTTAAAGCAAGGAAAAAAAAGTAATAATAAAAATCATACTCTAATAAATATGTTGAAAATTACTTTTACCTGTACTTACACTTATTATCAGTAAAAACCTTTAGATAGTTACCTGCACTAGTTGATACTTCTGGTGTCAAATTGGCTGATGAAATAATTTAATTTTCCGTACAGAACAGATTAATTAAATTTTTTTTGTTCAACGATTTTATTACAGTAGCGAAATATATGTCATCATGACTGTAATTAAAAGTTGGAGCCACGTATAATCACCAATAGTCATAACATTAATGGCTCTCGACTTGATATATACATTTCAGTTATTAACTCTTTGAGTTAAGTCTTATCATTGTATAAACAAATGTCGAAAGGCGCATTTTTGAGTTTCAAGTTATCAGCACATCAAGTCTTACATGATCGGTACTTGCCTGCCGGGCTGCCTAGTTTCGCGCGGGAGCCTCCGTCGCCTGTCGTAATTCATAGAATATCGCAATGGGCTTGTCAGTGTTGATGAGTCGCATGGACCGTGAATTCATTGCCGAGTTGATGAGCCCGTCAACAGTTGCACCGAAAAGTATCGGCTATCGATGAAATGCCACTTTCCATCGAAAAATGTAAGTTTTTTTTTTTTTTTTATACTTTTTTCCATCTTTCGTATCATTTTTCGGTGATGTGAAAATAAATAATTACTTGTTTCGTTAAAAGGCTCTCGTATCCCGCAACGATGGATCATGGCCATTATGTCATTTTTTGCCCTTTTCAACGCGTACACCCTGCGTATTTGTCTGTCCATCGCTTTAACCCAGATGATTATTCCTCGCAACCATTACGAAAACGCGTCTCGCGCTGAAACGTGTCCAGAGTACGGTGACTACGCGTCAATTATTAACGTAACCACCGTCACCAAAGGAATCTTCAACTGGAGCGAATATACCCAGGTCTTTTTTTTTTTCTCTTATCTATATATACATCATCATCATCATACTACGATTCAATACTCACGTGGCAGATATTTTTCAACAGGGAGTCATCTTATCGTCTTTTTACTTTGGATACACGATAAGCCAGCTTCCGGGTGGCTTCGTTGCGGAAATAATTGGCGCCAAGCACACGATAGGCTTGGCAGTATTGTTCACGGCCATATTGACAATCGCTACTCCGGTGGCAACACTTTGGGGGGACTCTAAAGCTCTGATAACGATCCGTTTCTTCATGGGCCTCTGCGAAGGGGTCATCCACCCCGCGATGAGTCGCCTCCTCAGCTCGTGGCTACCCCCCCAGGAAAGGTCCACCATCACCTCCTTCGTGTTCAACGGCATCAAATTGGGCATTCTCTTGTCGTCGATCGGATCGGGTTTGATTATCGGAGGATCGAGCGACAATTGGCCGCACGTGTTTTACGTTTTCGGCTGCATCGGCATCCTGTGGTACTTCCTTTGGGCGCTTCTCGTTTACAACACCCCCAAAGAGCACCCGTTCATCACGGAGCGCGAGAAAACGTACTTGCGCGAAAAAATGTCGGGCATCACTCACGAGGACGTACCACCGTTTCCCTGGAGGCACGCGCTGCTGTCCAAGCCCCTTTTTTCCCTGCTCCTCATCCAAATCGCCTTCGACTGGAGTAACTACCTCATCGTCTCGGATCTCCCGAAGTACATGCACGATGTCCTGAAGTTGCCCGTCAAATTGAACGCCTACGCCTCGTCTCTGTACAATGTGAGCGCGTGGGCTTTCAGCATATTCATGTCGTGGCTGTCCGACATCTCGATAGAAAAGCAGCACGTGTCGAGGACAATTGTCAGGAAAATCAACGCGAGCATTGCAGGTATGGGACCCGCGGTGTTTTTGTTGCTTACCGTGTACGCGGGCTGCGACGTGATTTTGGCGGTGTCCCTGGTAACATTGGGGCTGACCTTCAGCGGCTGTTTTTACCCGGGGATCAAAGTCAACGTGATGGACCTCAGTCCCAATTATTGCGGGGTTCTCATGGGCATAATCAACGGAATCGGGGCGATCGCCGGTATACTGTCCCCTTACACCGTTGGCGTTTTAACTCCGAATCAAACCCTCGAAGAGTGGCGGATCATATTTTGGATCGTGGGTGTGGTGTATTTGATCGGGACCATCAATTTTTTGCTGTTTTCCAGTGGTGACGTTCAGCCGTGGAATGACCCCACGTTTTTGAAAAGGAGAGAAAGTAATCGTCAATTTTCGGATGAAGGTATGGGTTTGATGTTGCGCGAGAAAATTAACTTGTCGAGTGGTCCAACGTAAAAAGCCCCCACGTATGTATATATATATACATATACATACTTATGGTGGAACGAGTTTTACCTGCGATCGAAAAGTCAGATGAATATTTTCACTTGTCGCGCGAGTGTTGACAAAATATTTATAAGGTCAGACCTCATTTACATGCATATCAGTGGCTTCGAAACTCATCAAATTACTAGGATCATTACAATTAATGTAAAACTTATTAATGTGTAACTTGTATCCAGCTGCCAATTAGATATATCACGACATACACTGTATCGGGGGGGTTTTTTTTTTCTATTATCAAATTTTACGCTTTACAGGTGCCATATAATGTATTCAATGTACAGTGCCACAAAATATGAATAAATAATTGGCAACACAAATTAAAATTTTTTTTTTTTTTTTTTAAATGTTCAATTCTTTAAAAAATATCATTATAATGTAAGATAGGCTGGAAAAATATATTAGCCTTTTTAGACTAACTATATGTTTTATGTACATTAAAGTGACGGTCAGAATACAATGTTGAAATCAGCTACCAATAATATCTCGATGGTTTTTTTCTTCATTGATTTTTATTCGATTCAACGTAAACAAAATACTTACTCATGTTTACCATTTTTCAATGCAGGTGTGGCCAGTCTTAATCGCACGTGCATGGGTGCTTTTCATAATTTATCTTATCACACTTCGATATTAGTACGGAAAATTCGTAGTTAATAAAAAGCAACCTGGTGTAAAATATTCCACGAAATTTTTGATGACCTCCTGGTCTATAAAGCTGTTGGTAATCAGTGTGACGTCTGCTCTATTTTCATAAAGCGTTTATCACCTCTACCGTGCGTTGAAAAACACCGACTTTATTGAAGCACGCGACCTGAGTCCGGCTCACATCTGACGCGGCAGTCGGGAAGTATCAGTTGGCTCAACGAGTTCTCTCATTCTTTCGATTTCGTGATCCAACAAAGAAACTTATCGAAAAAACTTTATTATATTTGTGTGTTAACTTAAGTGAAGTGTCCACCGCATCTTATTTATACGTAACTCAAGTAAGGTGATGATTAACAATTTTATCCTTTTTTTTATATTTTAACCTCATATTAAAACTGCTGAAATTTCGATTTACTTTTCTAACGAGCTACATTTATGATACATTCACTTTTACGGATACAGTGGCACTGAATACATTTTTCGCGCTTTTACTTTACTTGACCTTACGAATCTTATTAAAACATTTTTACAAGGAAATTGTAATAATAGCTCAACCGAGGAAAATTCAAGAAAACGTATGAAAATGTGCACGTTGACTAATTATAATTTTCTGTTACGAAACTGAAGAATATGATTTACAAGCGACAAAACAGTAATCTTGCATACTTGGTGATCAAAATAAAAATAATTGTACACAATTTTAATGCATCACCTTACATACCCTGTTTAACTCTTCTCTTTTTTTTTTTTTGCAATGATTATAAATATAGTAATATATCGTAAAAAAGAATACCTTGTACATTCATTTGCACTAGAAATCATGTATAATTTATGTTGGTGTTAATGTCAAGTTAGAACAAAAAGGTAAAAAAAAAGGAAATAATCATTTTTTCTATATGATTTGTGAGTAAGTAATGCTTAAATGTTGAATTCGTGGTTATATTGTTATATTTATAAACAAATAATATAATTCTAGAGCGAAATTCCGATGATAAAATTCCTTTAAAATATGTTTGAAAAATTAATGTAAAAAGCCACACACAATTGCTTCAAAGAAAACAAAGCTGCACTCCTGCTATGTTTTATTTTTCAAAGTATCCTTTACAATCTGCACACAGCATCTTTTATCTTATCTTTTATTAAGTGCGATACTCTTATTTGTCTCGCAACTATTCAACAGCCTTTTCGATTCTTGCGAACCGATACTTATCGTCAATCAAACACTTGACTCGGAGCGTCGGAAAAGCTGATGATCAATGGCGCCCGTACTGATGAAAAAGTAAAAATAATTTCGTCATGTTGAAATATATAAAGGATTAAATTATCCCAAAGCTCGCCAGTTACACGATACGCTCCATAAAAATGTCGTCAGCTCTGAAAGTTTGCTGTGAGTATTTTTTTTTTAAATAATTCAATTAACGGTACTTTTAATAAACAAAATTTCATACGAACGCTACATTTCGATTCCTAAAAATTTTTGCGAGACTTTTCACGTTACTGCACTTTATCTATCGCGTTAAATTAAGCGTGACCTTTTTTTTAGGTGCTCCAATCAACCAGCGCTGGATTCTAGCTCTGATGGAATTTTTGGCCCTCGTAATGGCCTACGGTATGCGCGTCAGTTTATCCATCGCTATTACGGAAATGGCAAAACCTGTACAAGACCTGCGACACCACGACGATACCTGCATAGCCGACGTGGTTAACAACAATGAAACTATAATTCATAAAGGAACGTACAATTGGGACAAGGACATGCAAGTAAGCTTAGATAACATATCCACGGGTTATGAAACATTTGGGTGTATTTTCGAATTAAGTGCAATAAACACACAATACAATAAAACTTCTCTCTGCTGGAAAAAATTAGCGTTGTATGGAATTGACATTTATCATCTCGTTTGGAAAAAAATATACATATTATCAAAACAAACTAAGTCTATGAGAGTTAAGAAAAAAAAAATTACCACTTCAGAAAGAAGGATAAAAACTATCAAAAATCATTAAAAAAACCGAAATTAAAAAAAATTAATCATAATATTTAAAGAACGATTTGAAATTCGTTCACGCTTTGCTTAATCTTTTTCTTTTTTTTTTTTTCCGCCAAGGTTACATTCCACGGTCACGTGCTATTTTTTCTTCCTTCGCGTTTCCATTAGATTCATTTCTATTGTCACAATTTAAACACAATGACAATAATGTAGATAAGACCATTTTGTTTTTCTGTCCTCAATCTATGTGTTTTCGCGGCCTTCCCGAAAGGAGTGCCCCATCCATAAAAGAAAATCGCCGTCTCACTCGTATCGTCGGTTGATTAGTCGGATCTTCTTCTGAAAATCAATGTAGCACGGAATACCGTGAAAACTGCATACGCCGAAACCCATTGAATCTTTTTGTAAATATTCGCATCAGTACTTTCGTATGCACAATTCGACAGTGGCTATACAATACAGGAGTGAAACAATGTGTCAAGTTGCCCATCTTTATCTTTCTGTTGCACAACATATAGCGGTGCGAGAGTCTTGTATTGTTGAATAAACGTTACTATGAGAGTTGGTCATATATATAAAAGTGTAACACTTGATTGCTTTTAAAATTTTGATGAAACCAACAGCGAGAAACGTTATTGTTTTCTATTTGGCGTCTATAACCCTTTTCTTCGTACATCATGTCACTCACAAAAGCTTCAACAAATGACAAATTATATCGATAATGGAAGCCTAACTACAATTAGGGACGCCATTAACGGCTGACGCTGCTGAAAGGTGTTTAATCAAAATTAATTAATGCATTCATAATTACTTCCACTTTTTAAGTCGATAACTTCCTAATTCGTTTGATTTAGACTGATTTCGTTGGAAAAACAAGTACTTACGCAGCGCCTTATGCAAGTTCGTCAACACCGAGCACGTAAACAGTCGTCCAAATTTTTTCCTCCGCCAAAAAGCACCTGTATGAAGCGGGGGTTAAAAAAAATGTTGGTAAAAAAAAAAAAAAAATAAAAAATAAAAATAAATAAATAAATAAATTTAGAGCGCTCTTTGGGTACTATATTGCGCATCATGAGTGATGTTAGCTCGATGCAGATTATTTCTCGTTGCAGAGAACGGGATAGTACGTCCTCGTGTACGCGACACCTATCTTTTTATCGTCTTTATTACATCGAATGTACGATATTCTACACTTTGCGTAAGCACTCGCGCTTCCATACGTACACGTACATGCTTCGTGCGGATAATTATATCTGTACATCCTTTGGCATACTTCAGCCATATAGGCGTGTTTGAAATGAAAATATGTTTCAGTTTCATATAGTGTGTACTGGTGCTCGTAAAAATCTGTTTTGTCATCCTTTAGTGTCACAAAGTTTCAAAGTATGACCATAAACATATCTCCATACTTAATAAAAAAAACCATTACCTTTTTATCAAAAATACTTAAACAATCGTTTTTTCCCGTCGATCTTCTCTTCTATTTGCCAGCTAAATCAATTTTTTCGTGTCATAATCACTTGGGTCGTATACTTTATTTACGTCTGCTTTCTGTCATTCGTTGAAAATTTTTCCTACGCTTCCTCTTTTTTCCTTTTTTCTGACTCCATAGAACTGGTTTTCTACTCGTTCTTTCATCACTTTTTCATCCATTTACTTTCCTATAACTTTCCAGTTTTAATTATTTCCTTCGCTTCCCACTTGATCCGTTAGGTCCGATCTCTATACGTTTGGATTGTAAATGAAAAACGATGGTCATTCCTCCATCCACATCTTTTGATACATCTACGTCAGAGGCGTTGTTGGACACTTTCCTCGATCTCTCTTTTTACTCTTTCGTTTACCAATATTTTATTTTGTTTCCCGTGACACAATAGTTTCGCATTCTCTTTTAGCCAAACTCTCCAAGCACAATCCAAGCGATGCGAGTATTGCAGTGACCCTTTACTTGTTGGAAAATACCAATTCGTGATATTACTAGACACATTATTTTAAAAATAAAATATACCTCATCTGCATCCAATGGAGGACTCAGCAGATGATACATTGTGTTTTGTATATGGTGTTTAACTACGCGATGCTTTAGCCTCTACACGTATTGACAACTTTTGGATTTTTGTTGTCGTGTCATCCGATGCAGGAACTTCTTTCTCGTACGCGTCATAGGTATGTCATGACACTCTTTTTTACATACTCGGCAATATAGCAACGTGATATGTTTTGATTGTGCAGATGCGAAAAACATATATTCACTCCCTGCAGTTCAAGAGAAGGATTTAACGAAATAATACTAGTGTGGGAGTAGTGACTATTACCAACAGTTTCCAAAACATAATTCAGTTATTATTCTTTGATGAAAAATTACATTGTACCTCTTGTAACCTCATGAACAACTAGTAGGATTAGTTATGAACAGGTATAAAAGAGAGCTGTTTTCGAGTTCGTGTAAAAAAAAAAATAATCTATAGCTTTTCTACTACGCATATTAGTTGATTTTTTTCTCCAACAGTTTTATAAAATGATACTTATACGGAATAATTAGATATTTTTGTAACACAAAAAAAAATAATTTCGTTACGAGTCTATCATTATTCCGTACAACAAAGGTAATTGGAGTACATAAAAATCTAGTGTTTCGTTATAGATACTCATTTAAAAGTATTGAAAATATAAAAATTAGTATCGTAAAAATCTTAGCCTAACAAAAACTGAACAACGTCCTCATTAGACATTAATTTAAATGTGCACCAAGCGTCATTAAAATTTTATTATTGCTTTAATTTAGGATATACATAATTATCTTAACACGCTCGTCGACTGCCGTGTAACGTCTGACGCTCCTGGTTCCTTT